AGACTTCATTCGATATGACTTATTAAAAATCTCATGTCATCTTAGATTACCATAAATTATTGTGTCGATGTTACCGAAATAAACCCAGTAAGATACCAAACTTCATATTACAAATTTGTGTTATGAGATATTGTTGTCGTGTCCTTGTGCCTGGAGGTATCGGTGTTAGTTACAAAGCACCTTTCAGTTGTCACCTAATTACCTGATACCAACATTATATGATTACCTTAAACAAACAATATGCTACATATTTTTTCACACCCCTTTCCTTCTTCTCTTTTCAATTGTTTTCATGAGATATAGTTAAATTTTCTGCCCCCAACTAACTAATAAAGAATAGGATTGGAGGTGGGGCAGAGAAGAACATAATTTCACCAAACAATAAAAAGGACATATTAATTATAATGAGAATGTTAAGAATGTGTTAGTATTGATGAGGAGTAACAGTAACACCCTAATCCACCTACAACATTCATCTTATCAAATGTAGATGAGACTTTGATTAAGAAATTAAATGCCAAGAAGGACCACAAAGTTATTATTTTGTGTCATTTTCAAATGATGTTGAGATGGATAATTATTAATTCATCTGTCACAACAAGGGTGGAGAAAGATTTGACTCACGAAAATATTAGGAACCTATGTTTCACCATTTTAATCTCTTTTATTAATTATATATATTGGAAGCAGAGTTTTGTCACTCACATGTCTATAATAATTATATCTAATGAAAAAAAAAATTCTCCGTAATTTAAAAATAATTAATTTATAAATTAATATTTTCATATAATTTTTTTATTTATACGTAAGATAATTATTAATTTATGAAAACAAATATATTTTTTCATCATTCTTTTCTGAAAATCTTAATAGAAAAACTAGTCTAAACAAGGGGATGTTTGGTAGAAGATAAAATAAATCCTATAATCAATAATCATAATTTTCATGAATCGTGCAAAAAAAAGTTCTTCTTAGAAATGACTAAATTTGTTTGATTAGTGAAAAATATTATTGGAAATATTTATATAAACCCTCATAATCAAAATCAAAGAGTAATATCTTATTTTTACTCAAATATTTATTTATTGTTACACTAAATGATTAAATAAAATCACTGACAATTTCCAAAAGTTCCAATTGAATATATTATAATTTAAATACTTCATTGTATTAAAAATCATAATCGTGATTAAACCATGGTCAAATAGATTATAATAAAATTTATATTTGTTAATATTACATAATACAAGAAGTAATGAAATTATTAAAAGTCGAGAACTAAATAATGACTCTAAATTAATATAAATAACTAAATAATGTTTTATAACTTAAAATAGTAATAATTGAAAAAAAATATAAATTTTGTTAAATATGTTTCTATTTATCTTAAAATATTCTTAGATTAAACTAATTATAAATATAAATAAAATACTTTTTACACTTGATTTAACAAATTCTTTAACAATTTTCACATATTTCATAATACAATTATTTTTAAGAGTTAATAAATTGGTCTTTATATATATATATATATATATATATATATATATATATATATATATATATATATATATATATATATATATATATATATATAATTTTGTTTTAGTTCTCTGTTATAGTTATATTGACTATGTGTTTTCAGAGAGAGTAGAATTGGACCAAATATTTTTTGTTACATGTAATTTAATTAACTGTTCCAAATTATTGTTTAAGATATCATAATGAACATTTTTAGTATGACAATAACGTTAATTACCATGACATGTACTATGAATTATTTGGTCACGTAATTACCATACATAGAGTAGCAACTAGTAAAACCATGTTGGAATCATTCTAATTCATAGTAGTGTCTAATTATTTTTGTTTATTGAAAATATCTTTCACCTAACCATCGCACACATGAAGGAAAAAAAAAATCAAATAGAATGAGAACAAGACTTAAAATTTTTTATTTTTTTTTTCAAAATTTAACTAAATGATCTTAATTTTGAAACTGCAAACTAAAAAAATACTCTAGAGTATAAACATGACTGAAGTTTCAAAAATCTTGATTGTTTCCGATAAAATTAGCTTAATTTGAGAAGAAAAATTGAATTGGCACCTAATATTTATAGAAACTTCTTAATTTAAGAATGAAACTGTCTTCACTGTGTGGATATTTATCCTACTATATTAGTAAATAATGATTAAACTTTATGATATATTCTCTAACTTTTGAATCAGATACACTGAAAAGTTGAAAAATACATTGTCTTGACAGAAAAGGGTTCTTTCAATTTTGAAGAAGAAGACCTTACAGTTACAGATATGATTAATATATGGAAGTATTAGCTGGAATATATATATATATATATATATATATATATATATATATATATATATATATATATATATATATATATATATAATCCATGTTTTACTATAAAATCATTTCTCAGGCAAGTTCATCACTTATTTATTATAATTTTTTTATTTATTTTGTTTTTTACTTCCTACTATAACATCAATTATTGTTTTTTTTATATGAAAATACAATTCAAAATTATAAATAAAATATTTTCAAGAACTTTTTAATTTATTGATTATTTTATATTTTTTATAATCTCATTATTATTTATTTAATTTAGATGGTGGAGATAACCATTAGAAAAGAGAAAAATATAAAATTTGAAATAAAGTATAAAAAAAAGGAAAAGTTTAAAATTTATTAAATCTTATTTTTATCTAGATTTATTCTTTCTTTCTTCACTTTCCTTGGTCAATCAATATTTATTTTTTATTTTTCTGACAGTAGCTTCGTGAATCAAATATATAATTTTTTTTATTTAATCAATGTGATTTTATATTTTAAACAGCTCATCTTATTTTTATTTATTTTTTATTTGGTACTTATTTATGTGACCTTAGTTGAGAATATGGATTAAAATAAAAAGCTTATTATGAATTTTCTTTAAGTAATAAAAAAATGGAAAGGATATGAATGTGTAGTGTAGACAACGACATGAACAACTAAGGAAAGAGTAGGTTGCCAAGTTGTTAATACAGTCAGATAACACCCATCATCCAACATTGACTCTACAAGAATTAAATGTTTTTAATTTATAAAGTTAATATATTCTCAGTATATTAATATAAGAATTAATTAAATTAGTTTTTATAAATCTAAATATCATCAACTTCATTTTTACCTTGAAAATTTTTAAATATAGATTTATCAACAAGTAGAATTTTATTTAAGTATTTTAGTAAGAAACTTTTATTTGAAATGTTAAAAACTATTCCATTTGATTTATTATATAATGAATTAATAGTAGAACTATTTATAGTGAGAAAAAACAAATATGAAAGTTAAACAAATAAACTCTTAACCTATAAGAATATCTTGATATATACTTTTACAAAAATGATAAAATTATTGTTTTAAGTATTTAATAAAATTTGAATTTAAAATTTTTGATTAAACTGAAATAATATTGCAGTGGTTAACATTCAATAAATGGTTACTTCTAAAAAAAAAAAAAAAAAAAAAAAACTAAAAACACATATGATAGTGGCGTGAGTCTTGGAAATGGAATGTCCCATATAGTTCATTCAAATTGGATCCTTAATCTATCAGCAAACAAGAAGATAAATTTTTTACTTGGCAACGCATGTGATTTGTGCAGCTTTTGCCTGAAACCACCACCCCATAAACTTGTTTTCTCAATAAATTAACTGCAACACATTATCCACAGTAAAAAGTAATCAATTCCCACCAAAATCTCCTTTCTAACGGTGGTTAAAAGCACCATAACAGGAGGATAATCATTACTTTCAATACACAAATTACACGCACGAACCACATTTACATGTCAAGTAGAAAGCATGTTTAAAGCAAATGGTGGAGGTGAATAGTTATTAGTTAAAGCACAACGATTTTGGAATTAAAAAGTTAAGAAAGGGAAATATGCATGTCGGTTCATGATGACATAAGCTTAGATTGGAGGCTTTTCTGGATATTGATAATTGAATCTGAGAAGCTAGCTGTGTCTTATTCTGCATCGAGGACCAGGTTGGAATTGGAAGCTCTTCCTTCTATCTCTAATCTGTAGTCTTTTTCACACAACCAGCCATTTCTTTCAACTTCCATTCACCATAACCAACTACAAGCACAAGCCACTAGTGCCTACCACACATCTCACTCCCTTTTTCTCTCTCTGTCCCCTACCACTTCACAGACCACTCCTCACTATAATATTCTTTTTATCTCAAGGGGTGGAACACTCTTCTCCACCACCATCGATCTTATTCTTCCTCTTCTTCTTAACCATGTATAGTATTTGACTGTTTGTAATTTTGTATTCACCATGTTCATTGTGAAGTGTTGAATTGAAGAGTTTGACATCTTCTGATGGTGCTTCATTTATTGTTGTCAAGTTTCAGTCTCATTCTGGATCACTGACCTGATTCTCTTAATGTCAAGATAAAGAAAACAAAAGGTTTGATCTTTAATCACCCGGAGCAATTGATCAAAGTTTCAATGAATTTGTCTTCGAAATTTGACTATTGGGTATGAGTGGTAGTTTCAGATTTTTACCATAGGTTGAGAACATAAACAGAAAGGTCGGGACTAGGAAAGCTCCAATTCCAATTCAATAGCACATGAAAAAGTAATTGATGAAGTCGGAGAAGGGTACATGTGTTTGGAAAACAGTTTGCACATGAATAGCCTAAGATCAATTTTTTTGTTCAAGTGTCTCAGGAGATATAAGCTTTCTTCACAAACTTTCACTTCTATTTTAATGAGACCGAAAAAGCATAACACATATCAGTTGGTGTTAAAAAAAGAGTGTATTAAGAAACAAAGGAAAAAACTGTTTCATAATTCATTTATTAGATGTTTATTCTAAATTGCGTTGTTTCTCTTAGCTTATTGAATTTGATTTGATATTTATTTTTTGTAATTTTGCTTTCTTTCTTTGGTGAATTCTGACTTACTTTGGATGAAGAAGTAGATGATGCAGAGAAGTTCGACAATTGCAAATAAAGGTGGAAAAGCTTCTAATAGAGAAAGAAAATTGGCTTTGAAACAAGATGTAATGCAATGACATTGTTTCTGTTCCTTCTCCTTGTGTGGGTATGACTTTATGGTCTATTATAGCTGACAATTGGGTTGAATTCTCCAACGTTTCAGGTGGATAGGTTGAAAAAGAAGCTTAAGCATGAAGAAAACATTCATAGAGCATTGGAGAGGGCTTTCAACAGGCCATTGGGAGCTTTACCTCGTCTTCCTCCTTATCTCCCTCCATATGTTAGTATACGAATTTTTCTTATGTCCTTTTTCTGAACACAAGCACTCTAGTTTTTTTATATGTTAGAAAGAGGTTGGAAATAAAATTTGAGTGTTGAACTTTGATGTTAAAAACCATAGATACTAGCCCTTCTGGCTGAAGTGGCAGTTCTGGAAGAGGAAATTGTCAGGCTTGAAGAGAAGGTTGTGCATTTCAGACAGGATTTGTATCAGGAAGCTGTCTATATGTCATCTTCTATGAGGAAGCTTGATCATCCAGTTTCATCTCCTCCAAACAAGTCAAACTCAACAATGGATAGTCCCAAGTTGGATAAATTGAAGTTTCAGTCCCAGACAGCTGGTGATCGAGCGGCAACATCTGCAACTAGGCCAACCACAACACTCACAGGTGAGAAATTCCATGATTTTTCACTGTTTCAGATTAATTAATTGCTGCTTCAGATTTGAGCCTTCATTTAGTTCAGTTTGTGCCAAAAAGAGAGTTAGTCACTTCCTCATTGTTTTGGCTTGCCAGAGGATATGGAGAATCAATCCTGTAGTAATTCTTCCGAGAGCAGGAAGCAATCCTCCAACCAAATGAACAAATATCCAATTAAGAAACTTGACAATAAATCGCTGCAGAAAAGGTTGGATCCTCCAAAAATAAAGGTGTGTCATGTTTAGGTGTAGAAGTAATTTTTAGTTGAGAGATTTAATGATATGGCTGGAAGATGAAAAATTGAAGAATTATTTCTTAGTCAATGAATGAGAGCTTTCACAATGTGCAGCAAGAACCAAGGCTGAACGGCCAGCAAATTGCAGAGTTGAGAAACCATTGTCTACATAAAAATTCACCAGAATCTGAGAGGCCAAATATAATTTCGGAAAATATTGTGAAGTGCTTATCAAGAATTCTCTTGAGAATGAGTGCTGTGAAGAATCCAGGTTCTGCATGTGATATTCCACACTTGTGGGATCTAAAACCTAAAATATGTGACGAGGAAGCAGAGTTTGAGGATCCATATGGCATCTGTTTGAAATTTGGGAAGAGGGATATTGGTCCATACAAGCAATTATGTGCAATTGATGCTAAATCTTTCAATCCAAAACGAACTGCAAATACTTTGTTTTTACTGCATCGTTTGAAGTATGTAACATTTTTCTATTTACATTCAATTTTTTCTTGTATGACATTAATTTGCTATTACTTGTGTAAATTATAAGTTAAAGTTTTTGACTCTGGGAAATTTGCAGACTTCTTTTTAGGAAACTAGCCTCTGTCAACCTAGAAAACCTCAACCATCAGGAGAAGCTTGCATTCTGGATCAACACCTACAACTCGTGTATGATGAATGTACGTCAGTTATGTTCATTACAACAAAACTTCGTATAATCTATCTAAAAAGTTTTTTTGCCTACAAATTTTCATATCTTTCCTCAGTGATCTTAAGTGGTGACTTCTCAAACCATAATAAATGATGGTATTTTAGTTCTACTTTGCTTCAGGCATTCATAGAGAATGGCATACCAGAGAGTCCTGAAATGGCTGTTACACTGATGCGGAAGGTATACTATGGAACACTAGAGTAGTTTGTGTTTCTTATTGTGCTTGTTCATTCAGTTTAGTATAACATAGCATAAGTGTGTTCTCAACAATTTATGTGGTTTTCTTGTTACTCAGGCAACAATTAATGTTGGTGGACACGTGCTAAGTGCAACAACCATTGAGCATTTCATTCTAAGACTTCCTTATCATTGGAGATTTGTAAGTGTTGTCCATTTCAACTCTAGTTTTTCTATGGATGACAGACAATAAAGAGGTAACACTAAATTTGCTAACAGACCTTTTCCAAGGGGACAAAAAATCAAGAAATGACAGCAAGAAGCATGTATGGACTAGAACTGTCGGAACCCCTTGTGACATTTGCTCTATCTTGTGGAACCTGGTCTTCTCCTGCTGTAAGTTGATGAGTAGTTTACATAGAATTACGTAATCTTTCATAGCTCCATATTTGGTGCTTGTTCATTTATGATTTACATTCTGTCTCTCTGCATCATTAGACATTTGAATACGAGTTTAATTTCTATGCATTGTTAACCTTCAAAGTTTTTTATTTTTTTAACTGTTGTTCAATCAAAATTTCGCTGATATGATTTTTATAGTAGTTATTATAAACGCCAGTATACTTACCAAGCAACAACCAAGTTGTTTACCGTTAGGTGGGGTTGGCAACATGATGCATCAAACGATGTCATAGGATCATGATGTTAATCATGTCAAGATTTTGACAATATCCTCTTTTTTAATGTATCTGTTTATGGATTTGTCATGAACTATGCCAAATGCAGGTGAGAGTTTACACTGCATCTCAGGTTGAGAATGAACTGGAAGTGGCTAAAAGAGAGTACTTACAGGCAGCAATTGGATTTTCATCTTCAAAGTTTGCTATACCTAAGCTGTTGGATTGGTATTTACTGAACTTTGCAAAAGACTTGGAATCATTGCTGGACTGGATCTGCCTCCAGTTACCAAGTGAACTGGGGAAACAAGCCATAAAACTCTTAGAGGAAAGAAAAACTGAGCCCCTCTCACAATTTGTACAAATAATGCCATATGAGTTCAGCTTTAGATACTTGATATGCACATAATTTCACTTCAGTTATATGCACATTGCTTCATTGCAATTTTTTACACAACTGTAGATCATACATACAAACAATGTAGATGATAATCTGTTCTCTGCCCCTTTGGGTAGAAATGTTCAGATTCCTTCTTAAAACTAAACTGAATAAAACAATCACTGCATAACCTATGGAATTTGAACTATGCAAGTGTGTAGCTTTCCCATAAAACCTACTTGTCCATTCCAATTAAATTTGAGTCAAAGTTAAGACTAAAAGGCTTATTGTGGGACCAAATTTAAAACCTCACGTGAATGTTCTCTCCCTTCAAACTCTTGGTTATTTTTTGTGCCCAGGCAAATGTTGATCGTGACTGCATTGAAAGACAGAAAAGTCATGAGGGTCTACATTAAATGGAATCTGTTACATGTAATCAATGAAAACAAAGGTGTGTGCACATGTACTGAAGATTATAGAGTCCAACATCTAAACCACTGTGCATACGCATCGTGGTCCATTTCATTCCAGGTTAGTTTTGGTGAAGCAGAAGAGGAATCTTCAATTAATAAGTATACTTGATACAGTAAAGTGCTCTAATTGCAGGTCCTTTATGACAGAAGAGGCTTTCATTGCTTGGCAGCAGCAAGCACCATTTGCCACACATAAAAGATGAATTATTAACAAAGTTTTCTCTTTGTATATACTTGTGTTTCCAACTACCAAGAGAACGCTACTAGATGACCAGATTTTGATTCCTTAGCTCAGGATTTAACTGGTCCATACCCACATGCTTAACATGGAACCACACCACTTCTTGTTTGATAAGTTTTCGGACAAGTTGTACCATAAACCTAACCATAATTTTTGTTCTACTTTACACTGGTCCCCCTAATGATTATTACTTTTTTTTTATATATACAATCTTAGGAAGGAATCATATGAAGGAATCCAATTCAGAAACCGGGAGTTTATAACAACTCAAATAATTCACACAGGGTTCAAGTAATTTTGCTACACCTCTAGTTTTAAAATACCAAATTAGTTTTGAACTAACGCGACAATTTCTTTCAATCTGATAACTAAATTTGTGGGTCTATGTTTTTTTCTTCGTTTCTTTCGTCGAAATGTGGTCTGTGTTAAAAAAAAAAAAGAAAAAAACAAAGTACCACCCATCCATAATCATGTTTCAAAGGATGAGGTATCAATCTATGACCGTTCAGTGCGTGGCTCATTTTGCTAAGGAAAAAAAAAAAAAAAAAAAAAAAAAATATATATATATATATATATATATATATATATATATATATATATATATATATATATATATATATCTTGAACTCTACCTTTCTCACCGAATATCTTGAATATTGTAAGCTTTTTTTGAAAATTTTGTAATAATACTTCTACATTTCTTCATCTCTTCCTCTTTTATATGCGTTGATGCTAGAAATGGTATCGGAACTAAAGATAAAAAAATTTTCGTTGATAATATATTTGTTTGTTTAAATAAGTATGCACTTGTGGTTGCAGTCTAGGCCAATCCTCCATATAAAAAAAATTGTTTAAATATTAAAAAGTATATTAGCTGAAAAATTGGATAGTTAAGTCTCCCCGATTGGATTGCTTGAAGCATAATAGGCAAGTCCAGATCACATTAGTCAGGTTCGATTCCTGATGTTTTAGAAAGTCGCGTACTTTATTTGTATAATTGTTTATTCTCTCTGAATTCATATTTTCTGAAAACTGAACTTTTCTAATAGAAATTTTTTTATTAATTAAACTTTGCCTAAGAGTCTTTGAGGGTAGATGAACGTTGGTAAGCCGATTTAGGTGGTAAGACCAATAAGTAGCAATAAAACCTTTGGTGTTTCCGAACATCTTAGACCTTGACCTTAGGATGGCAAAATTAATAAAACTTTTATCTAAATGAAAAGAAAAATTTGAAGAAAATAAGAATACATAAGAAGAAACCAAGTAACATGAACATAGTACACCATGAATTAATTATTCCTGAAATAAAAAATCAACTTAATAAATGGACCATTCCAAAACTCGAAATATCAACTATCTATAAAACAAATTGGAAATACATGTTTAAATCTGAATATATAGTAAAAACAGTAGACAAAGAAATAGAACTACAATCAAGTCATGAAAAAATATCATTAATAACAAAAACTCTAATAGCCGAACATATAAAATAATATATATATCTTCATATAGGATCTATACAAATAGCGATAAAACCTCTCTTTAGAAAAGGAATAGATACACTCATGTTCGTTGCCTTAAGAGATAATAGATTAGTAAAACTTGAGAATAAAATATTAGCAATGTTTGAAACAAATCTTCATAATGGACTAGTATATATAAATAATTACCCAAATTATTCAATAGCCCTTAAAAGTCTTCATAATACGGAAAATAATATACTACTAGATATTAAAATCCCAGAAAATGTTTGGAATCCAAAATCAATACCTATAACCATAATATACATAATTTATTATAAGATAATGAAAACCCAATTGGCACCTGGAGCCTTATTAATGTCCCCAAAAGATGAAACAACCATATTATTAGTAAACTCAGAAAAGGTTAATGCAGTAATACCAAAAACTTTAAAACACACTAAAATATCTAGTGGTCTTAGCTAGAGACTAGAAGACCTACTAGAACCAGAACCCCAAGAATCAGTTGAAGTTGAAAATATAACTGAATATAAATCAGGAACAATAGATGTATCATTTGCCCCAATCAGAAGAGCAAATTCATTAAGAAGAACATCCAGTAGAAATACTTTTGTGACAGCCAGAAGATCAGTAGACCAATCTAGTTTAATACATCATAAAAGTTTAAAACTAAAAGGAATAAAACAAGACCCCACAATTCCAATGTCAGAATATGAATATGAAAATATAGAAACCCATAATTCCCCTTTTGCTTCGAATTACATCAAGATGATAATATAATAAATATAATAACCAAATTCGAATAAACAAAAAATATGTTAGAAATAATCGACCTACAAAAATCTTTAATAAACCCTATAAGATTATCTCGATAAAGAATATAAAGAATTTAAAATAGGAAATCAATTAGAAAAAATATTAGAAGAAATAAATAAAAAATTAGAGCAATTAAATGTAAGAAAATTAAATGTTATAGATATCCCGTAAGAAGAACTAGGAAACCTAGAAAATATAGATTATGAAGAAAAGATAAATAGAATAGGAAGTAAATTTAATGTAAATCCAACCACTCATAATATGTCAACTACTAGAAATTATTATAGAAGATCAACCCTACCGGATATACAATTTGAAGAATGAAATTTAGAAAGCCCATCTGCTTTTAATGGAACAGGAATAACCGAATGGAACATAGATGGATTAACTGATTATCAATTATTAAGAAAAACTAATGAAATGGTCATGGCTGCCTTAGCTTATAAGGCAAAAACCTCAGAAGAACAAACAATACAAATATTAATCCTAGGATTTACTGGATCCTTAAAAGGATGGTGGAAAAATTACCTATCCGCATATCAAAGACGATTTATTTTAACAGCAGTAAAACAAGAAGGAAATACACTAATGGTAGAAACCTTAATAATATCAATTATCCATAATTTTATGGGCGATTCTAACACATTTGAAGAAAAAACTAGTACCTTGCTACATAATCTAATATGTCCCACTCTAGGAGACTTCCGATGGTATGTAGATAATTTCATAATCATGGTAATGACTAGAACCGACTGCAAAGAAATATTTTGGAAAGAAAGATTTATTGCTGGATTACCCCTAGTATTTGCAATAAAAGTACGAGAAAAATTATCTCAAAAATACCCTGAATCTTTGCAAGATATAACATATGGAAAAATAATTTCAACTATTAAAAATACTGCCTTAGAAATATGTAATAATCTAAAGTTAAAAAAATAGATTAAAAGACAACAAGAAAGCGGTATAAAAGAATTAGGAGATTTCTCGCATCCAATATGGGTATGAAAAATTAGATCATCCTTCTAGAAAAAATAAGAAAAAACAAATAATAAAAAAAATTCTCAGAATAATAACATGAAAATCTCTAGAACCTTTAAAAGTAAAAGATCAAAACCTCTTATAAGTAATAATCAAACTAATTCAAAGAAAGAAATAGTTTGCTATAAATATGGAAGATACAGACATATGAAAAAAGATTGTAGAGTCCGAGAAAAGATACAACAGCTAGATATGAGTGAAGAAGTAAAAAATCAAATAGCAAAAATATTACTATACGAATCAGAAGAAGATATAAATAATTTAATAGAAACCAATAGTAGTGAAGATGAAAATTCCACTAACACTAGTGAAAATGAGAATGAAGAAAATTGTGATTGCATATTTAATATTAATGTTTTATCTATCGAAACCAAAATAGTTTTAGAAATGATAGACAAACTTCCAAACGAAGAAGATAAGTTAGAATATTTAACTAAATTAAAAACTTTAATATTAAACAAAAAATAAACGAAAACTTAGAAATAAGAGGTTATGATTTCTAAAAAATATTAAAAAAGGCAATAAATAAAGAAAAACCAAGTAAATTTGCAAGATTTGCAAAATGAAATAAGTCTTTTAAAAGAAGAAATAAAAGAAATTAAAAATCAATTAATAGAAGTAAAAATAAAAAATGAATATTATAAATAATAAATCCATTCTAAATGATGTAACAACTTCGAAAAGGTTAACCAACTAAAAATTTTACAACAAAAATGTCATATAAAAGCTACACTAAAGATTGGAAATAATTTTCATAAACAATTTACAGTTTTGGTAGACTCGGAGCTTATATAAATTGTATACGAGAAGGACTAATACCTACAAAATACTATGAAAAAACTTTACAAACATTAAGAACCGCTAATTCTAAAAAATTAAAGGTAAAATATAAATTGATAAACACCATTACATGCAATAAAAGAACATCTTTTAATAATATTTTTATATTAACCCTTGATATTAATAAAGAAATGATTCTAG